GGAAGATTGAAGAGTGAAAGCATGTAACTAAACTAAGCCATTTTTACATATTTATGAGTTGTCCTAAATTAAAAAAACACCCTACAAGGGGAAATCCCAAATTCACCCCCCCCCACAAGCATCAATGTTGACAACATTGTTGACAACATTGATTTTAATCTACTTTATCTTTGCATGTTTTTGCAGCCAGTCGTATCTTGCATCAAACCAGTTATTTGTTCTGACCTTCACTGTTTCTTCTTCTCTCCTCGTCCTCTCAGGCACTCAACGAGTCGCTGAAGCTGCTGAAGTCGCAGTCCCCTCAGACCGCCGCCATGCTCTTCACCGTGGACCCAGACGCCGGCAAGATCACCTGCCTGTGTCAAGTCCCACAGGTAACGCGGCCGCACGTTCGGTCAAACTGCACCGGCAGCAATTCAGAGGCAGGTTGTTCAAATTAAAATAAAAAAAACCCTCCTCTCCTTCAGGATGTGGCCAACCGGGGCCTGAAGGCCAGCGAGTGGGTTCAGGAGCTGTGCCCCCTGCTGGACGGCAAAGGAGGCGGCAAGGACATGTCGGCCCAGGCCACGGGCAAGAACACCGGGTGCCTGCAGGAGGCGCTGCGGATGGCCAACCAGTTTGCACGGCTGAAACTGGGAGAGAACTAAAGAGCGGAGAGACGCCCGTTGAGGAAGAAGTTGGGCCACAATTGAGTTAGAAATCCCCAAACGTTCTCCTTTCCTCCATTTTCCTCTCCCCGTGGGTCATAAAATATTAGAAAACACAACAAAGCCACCAGGTTCATATCGCTGACTCTGTCGACGGGTGGCAGCAGTTAAGCGAGCGTTTCGTTTATTCATTTACAGCATGAAGAGAGATGCTCCTAACGCAGTGAAGTGAAACAGAAATCTTGCATGCTTGTGACAGAAGAAAACCGATCTGCTTTTGATGAATTCAGCCTCCGGAAGGTTCTGTGCTGCTCCGATCAAGAACCGAAGAGCGTCTCCGTCCACCAGAGTGAGCAGTGGTTCTCTCCTGTGATTGATTTAGAGTTGAGTTGAACCCTCACTAATCGTATCATAGCAAGTCATCATCTGACTAGTTCAATAATTGCATAAAATGATCACGTAGGTTTCTTGTAATTCATCCACCTGCCTTCATTTCGCTGATGTTTAATATCTGTTGAGTCTTATCATTGTAGCGGAGTCAAGTTGTAAGGATGGAATAAATACGACCGCTGTCTACTTTACTCCTGTCCAACGTGTGCGAGGTTTGTATCAGTGATAAACCTCATTTTGGGGGGGTTTGGGGAAATAACGGGTACACGTGGGCAGATCATAATTTGGGAAACGGTGAAACAACCATAATTCCACAAACAGACTTGACTCGTGTTTCATGAAGCTTTTTATTTTTTTTTTACAATAGCATAAGATACACGAGTTTGATCACACAAAGCTTTAATGCAGATTATACTTGTGGTTTACTGGAGAACGCAGCTTCTCAGCCTGATTGACAGATCAAGACGGGCAGGAAACCACCCACGTGACACGCGTTCAAACAGACGTCAAACCTTTTCGAAATCCCTGCAGTCGTCGAATCGATCCGCAGCGACTGCCGCTAAGCAGCTGTTCTTGCCGATGCCGTCCTCCCGACCGCACGGCGCTCTGGTCTCCGGCGAGGGCCGCGCCCACGTTTTCATCAACGCGTAATTGGTCCTCGGGGCTCTTAATCAAACGTCTGTCTCAATCTACCGTAAAGGGGATCAATGACCCACGTTCAAATAAAACATGTGACGCAACGCAGGTATATTCAGACCGGATGCAATGCATTGCATGCTCTTTAAAAAGTTACAACATTCCCCTCGTGGCAACCTCGAATTAAATAACGAACCTGAAAGAATGTGCATCATATGTTCTGATTTAATGTGTTGTGTTCTAAATCAGACTCAAACGACCCATTTTGTCTGTAACTATATATATTTTGATTTGCTTTCTTGTCAAGAGGCCTCCTTCTCTGTCAGAGAAAGCAAACTCCTGTGGTTTGTGTCAGCTGTTCTGTGCAGTGGTAAAGGGCTCAATAACACATTTTCAAACAATCAATAAATGCTAAATTTGTCTGCTCTGACTACGAGACGGAGCAGCGTAAAAATAGTCCTGGATGTGAGAAGAACCTGGATTCATTGCTCAGACTGACTTTAGGGCGGTTTTGTAAGCGTCTGGCCTGGAATTCCCAAAATAAGAAAAGTGCCGCAACACAAACAAATCAGTGCCGTTTTGAGTCGTGACAGAAAAATAACGCACAAGTCAGATGTCGCCTGGGAAAACTTGCTCGACCCCTGCAGGCCCCTAAGTTTATATCCTCGTGCCGCCCGCTGAAAACCGACTGCTGCAAACTGCTTCCACTCCTCCCCGGGATCCGCTGCAGGGCACAAAAATAAACCAGGTGTCCTGCGACGCGGGACCAGAAAGCTCCTTGGGGGGGTCGCGTACGGGGGAACGCTCGGGGCCAGATCTGTGCCGCGTGCTGAAAAAAAACCTATTTAGGCCAGCCAGAGAGGGAGCACCTGCTTTACCCCTTCATCTGACCGCGGCGTTCATCGATGGGTCAAGGACCCGGAGCTTTTGTGGGGTTCGGCCCTCGCTGGCTTCTAGTCTCTAGAAATGCCTCTAAAGTAGACCGGTGACGCTCCGAAAAGTAGCAAATAATATGAATTCAGAGCAACTCAACAACTCCACCAGCGGGTTACATCCACTCCGTTCGCCTACAGCAGTCCGTAGCAAACCGTCGCTAAACGGTAAGAAGTGAAGAGCGTGAGGCGTCAGCGCCCCCCGAGCAGAAGGCAAAGCGACACACGTGTGTGTGTGTGTGTGTGTGTGTGTGTGTGTGTGTGTGTGTGTGTGTGTGTGAGAAGCTCAGAAGGCACAGCTCTCAGCCAAAAGACATGAGAGTGTGGGTAACAAAAAAAGCAAAGGTGTGTGTGTGTGTGTGTGTTGCAGATGCAGCAGCTGTTGGCATTTTTACCTCCAATATCAAGACAAGGCACGGAAGCATGAATGTGTGTGTGTGTGAGAGACACCGCGAGAGGAAAGACAAACAATATATCCAGATTCAGCCTGACAGACTCTTGAGCCGACGCTTAATCATCCTGTAAGATCCAGAATGGGGCAAAGTGGGATAAAAACATTAAAAGCTGATAGAAGAGAAATGAAAGTTAAAAGCAATCTCCTCCAAAGACAACACAGTTAATACCACAACACAGCTGAGCCCAGCGCACAGTTCTGACGCGTTCTAACCTTTGACGTCTCTCAGCTTGAGCAACGTGAACAGAGTAACTCGACTTCCGACGCACCAAGAGGGAAGCGCGTTACCGTTTTGTGTGAGAGGAGCATCTGCTGCGACAGCGGGCGCAACGTTTATTCACGAATGCAGCCCACTAGACAGAGCACATCACTGAAGCGATACACCGAGAAACGTGGGGGTGGGGGCCGCTTCTGGTAATCTTGAAAACGTGTTTTGTGAATCACACTTTAAGCCATTGGATCTGCAGTTGGCGAGACAAAGTGCGTCCGCGCTAGTCCAACGCCTGGAATTCAATCAGAATTGATCAGCCGCACAGTGCCGATGAGGCCGTTTCTCACGAAAGTAGCGGTGCGCTGGGGCAGTTTTTTGTTCACCTTCACTGTTGCCCTCCAGATAACGCTGTGTGCATCCGTGAGCTCCATTTAAATACCGATATGATGTTGGGCCTCCTTGTTAAAGACACGAATGATGAAAGGCTATAACGGCGTAAGTAGATACGATCTGAAGATCCCCGGTTGTGGTAAAAACAAAAACAATAACGAGCCAAAACACCATAAATCCGACCAGCGTCCATGCCAAGCTAAACATCACATCAAGCCAACAGATTACATCTGCAATCCACACGGAAACCGCGGTGAAGCCAGTTCAGTGTTTGTTTTTTTCTGTCTCATCTGTTCGGCCTTTAGCAGATGATGTGCTTCTCGTGCTGCCGTTGTCGGAACTGCTTCTTCATGCCCCAGCTTTCCGTCTACAGTCCTTCGTCTCCTAAATTAGAACCCGGCGGGCCACACGGGGATAAAACCCTGGTCCAGATCCATCACGTCTCCGTCAAAAAACCCAAAAGCCCGGGAGACAGACTTATGGCCTCATTAGAGCGTCCGCGCAGTCAAACCAACACGCCCCGTAGGGATGGTGACTCCTGGTCCTGGTGCTCGAATCCAGGTCAGCTGCCTCCGCAGACGCCGGTGCAGCCTGCGGCGATGCGTCAGAGTCAGAATGGCCACCAAGCAAAAAGCCGTCCTCCCTTTCCCGTGCGTCTGCTGCGGGCGTATAAACACACGGCAACCGCATGTGGTCCTTTTAACCCGGCAGGTTCACGACCCATGTGACCGTAAAAGCGAGGCCCCGTCTGTGACCTGTAGAAGGGGACGTTTCTGTGGCCTTTTCAGTGAACGGGTGAGTGTTGGGCACTAATCCCAGGTGAGCCTAGAAGTAGGACATGCCTCCATCTCTCTCTCTCTCTCTCTCTCTCTCTCTCGCTGCCCTACGGAAGGTCAAGGGTGTTAGTTTTCCATCGTACAATTCCGTCACTTTGTTTTTCACTGCTGCGTTGAAGCTGCCTCCCGGAGGGAGAGATGTGGTCCCATGGGCGACAGGGGGGGTCAAGCCCCGGGAAAACCCAAAGCCAAAGCGCTCTTTAGTGAGCTACATGTTCCCTGCTCCCGGTTCGTGCATCTTCAGCAGTCGCAGCCTCCACAGGTGGACCAATTCTCCAGTACAGTAGGGCGAGTGGATGGAATGGCGTGGCTCTGCGCCGCTTTATGACCTTCGCGCCTCCTGAAACCACCTGTTTCATTCCCTCTCTGACACATAAATGGCAGCGATAGAGGGACACCGGGGATGTTGGGGGCGCCCCCGCCGCGCCTCTCCCGCACAGCCTCCACAGCGTCCGTTGCAGTGTGTCACGGGTTGGACCGTGGGATACACGCGGGGTTTGTGCGGGGGGATGATCCCGCTGGTTATTTCCCAGGGAACACAGTGATCTTGCCAGCCTTGGCGAGCCGTTGGATGATCTGCGCTTCGTAGTCGGCGTCGTGGACGCCGGTCTTCCTGAACTCTCCAGAGTAGCGGTTCTGTTCCCAGTAGTGGTGCCAATTTCCCCTGCTGTCTGCCCCGAAACCGAACACGTTCACCTGGAGGAGAGCGGAAGAGGGAGGGGTGGAGAGCATCACAAATCTGTAGAGTTCCTCTGAGACCTTTAGGAAGGAGGAACAACAACATTATTTGCTCACTTTCAGATCCCTATAGTACAAGAGAGAGAGAACCTGACCTCGTCACAGACATGTAAGGCAAAGAACAGCACAAGCATGCCGGTGGAGGGGTAGCGCCCATGATGCCTGGTCCAGCGGTCGTGGATGTATTTAAAGAATGCCGGGTTGAAGATCTGGACCTGGGTGTGGGACAGAGACACAGCGAAAGGGAGATACGGTCTACTGCCCGTGAGTTTATCCGAGAATGAAACCGAAGCGGATATTCAGAAAGATCCAGAAATGTTTTTTTTTTTTGGCTTTTCCAGAAATTCCGTGCGTCGGTAAATCAGGAATCAGGAAACATTTATTAGCCTTTTTTTTTTTTTTTTTTTAAAGAATAAGGCTAAGGCTATGGGTTAGTATAAAACAAGGGAATAAAGTAAAAAAAAATTAAATATTAAAAAGTTAAAAAGAAAAATATTAAGCATAAAGTGCACTAACGAACAAGTAACAGACAAGAGACAACGTGACAAGTGACGACAAAATGATGAATAAATCCGATCTAGTCGGAAATTCAGATCTTAAGCTTTCACTCGGATTATTTATACAGGAAGAAAGAAAAAATGTACATTTAAGAGGTTCTTCAACACAAGAAAACGTTTCATTATACGCTCCATGGTTGTGATTGAGTTTTTTTTTATTTCACGGATTAAAGAGCAAGCAGAAGATTATTCAAAACAAAGCGAAGGTTTATAATCTAACTGTAAGCCCCCATCAACACGGCGGAGGGGATAATATAAAAGCAGGGTCACACGGCGTGTGCGCGTGTGTGTGTGTGTGTGTGTGTGTGTGTGTGTGTGTGCGTGTGCGTGTGTGAATGGCCAAAGTGGCCTGTGACGCCCATTGAGAACACGCACCTTGTCTTTATCCACGCGGAGGAACTGCTTCACGGGAGCGTAGGTACTGAGAAGCGGAGACGGAGAGACGCAAACGGATTAAACATTGATTGCTACGAATTATGAAGGAGTGACGGTTCGGAGGTGCGTGCGTGTCTCTGCTCACAACCGGATCTGGCCGGTGGACAGCGCGCTGGTGATCCAGACCAGATCCAGCGTCTTGAAGGGCACCACGACGAAGCTGACGTTGGCCGCCAGGTTCTTGGCGCTCTCCGGGTACATGAAGTGGTGGGTGGTGTGGCTGCCGGCGTCTTCCTCGTAGCCCACCGTGGGGGCCAGGTTGATCCTGGGAGCGGCGGAGGGACAGCAAAGGAGACGTCAGGGGTTTGCGTGAGCTTTAAACTGCAGTCACTCGTTCAAAGGATCATATTTTAGGCTGACTTGTAAGCAGGTTGTGGTCGTTTTTTAAAAATAGAAGATGAATTGTTGGATTTGGCCATGCGGTGACAGCTTTGGGAGCCAACATTGACGTTATGTTCTCCTCCTACTGCTAAAGGGACAATGTCTGGCTCCTAAACAGCAGAATGATCGGCTGTTTTGGTGCTGAGCAGGTAATGGACAACGCGTGAGGGCCCCTTTGTTCAGTGCCTGTTGCTTCCTCTCTCCGGGGCTGCAGACCTGACACCTCCACTCGTTTGACTTACGGTTCGGTTAACGGATCGCCGCCCTGTGACGGTATTCACTGTCAGTATCGCCTGCGGCTTTGATCAAAGTCTGAGAGTCGAGCTTGCAACACCGACAGCAGCCGGACTCATGGGAGCACCGAGAGTGAAAACTGAAACGACGAGCCGAAAAAGGTGCTACAACACAGAGGGACTGAGAAAGCCAGTCAATGTGAAAATATTGGTTAGCTCATTGGTAATTACAGTGCGCATGCATGTACCGTAAATTCCGGACCTGAATACAACCTAAATTTAGAACAAAAGAAGATGTGTACATATATAAGCCGCAGCGACTACAGCGACTACACCACTGCATGCAGCGACTGCAGCGGCTACACCACTGCATGCAGCGACTGCAGCGACTACACCACTGCATTCAGCGACTACACCACTGCATGCAGCGACTACAGCGACTACACCATTGCATGCAGCGACTGCAGCGGCTACACCACTGCATGCAGCGACTACAGCGACTACACCACTGCATGCAGCGACTACAGCGGCTACACCACTGCATGCAGCGACTACAGCGGCTACACCACTGCATGCAGCGACTGCAGCGACTACACCACTGCATGCAGCGACTACAGCACTGCATGCAGCGACTACAGCGACTACACCACTGCATGCAGCGACTACACCACTGCATGCAGCGACTACAGCGACTACACCACTGCATGCAGCGACTGCAGCGGCTACACCACTGCATGCAGCGACTACAGCGACTACACCACTGCATGCAGCCGCTCTGTTTCCTTCTCCGACGGCCAGATTGCCCGTAACTTGCACCGGTCTGTCTGTCTCGCTCTCCCGCGTCAGCCCCGTAGAAAATGACACATTAGCCGCACTGTTGTATAAGCCGCAGGGTTCAAAGCGTGGGGGGGGAAAGAGTAGCGGCTTGTAGTCCGGTATTTGCGGTACGCATGTACGTAACGTGCACGCGAGTGAGTCAGGGATGGACCGACGTGATGCGGCAGGGCGGAGGTGGCCGGCGGAGGCGCCGAGTGGACTCGTCTATTATTATTATTAAAACAAATGACATTCCAACCAGATGAGCTCGTGTATCAGGCAATGGAAGCTGCCCACGCAGGTTTGAGGAGCGCAGCGCCGATGTGCCCGGAAACAGAAAATACTAGTCATCTCGGCCACAAGCGCACACACACACACACACACACACGCTGCTGGAAACAACAAACAGCTGTGTGTGCATGCCAGCTGAAGACAATCGGGCACTGTGACGCATCACTCCGGCACAGCAAATGCGGTGCGTATGCGAGAGGCACGATCTGCACGCTTCAGCTTCTTGGTACATAAAGCTCTGTGGTCAGGTGACCTCAGAGCGGAATAGAGGAAGGCAATAAATAAAGAGATTAAATGTAGAATCAGGCACACATCTGCTGTCTCCTTCCTGAGGAAAATAAATTCTGAATTTGCACACAAACTGTCATTTGATGTCATCTTGGTGACTGAGTGTGACGTCACAGTGCTCGCGGCGGTCCTCCTCATCGTCTTCACCCCCTCAGTCTCGTCACCCTCACCTCATGACGTAGTTGTGCCCGTCGATGGTCGCCCCGTATCCGGCGCCACGGAGGTTCCCGGAGTTCCCCACCACGGCGCAGCGCAGGCAGCGGCCTGGATCCCACGAGCCGTACGGCGACCTTCCAGGAATCACCTGCGAGGGAAATGAAATGGACAACCGGCACTAAAGGCGGCGGGAAAAAAAACGCACCCCAGCTCTCACTTCTGGGGTCAATTCTTTAACGAGACAGTGCAGGAACAATACACGAGGCCCCTCGAGGAGCTGGAGTGAGTTACACAAACATACGCTGGTGTAAAAAGGGATTCAGTAAAAAGGAATGAGCCGTATCGCCGACAAACTCTGCCGTCTAATCTGTTACTCGGCCTTTGAGCAAACGTGTGAACCAGGGACTCGGATGGGTGAATTAATAATGCAACGATACCTGGAACAGCCTCAGCAGCACCTGCTGGAGGCTGTGGGGTTTAAACTGGGGCTGTAACATCTGGAGACAAAGGAGAGAAAGAGAAAGGTGAGCAGGTCTCGTTCGCCTTCTGCAGACGAATGTGTGTTTTGTGCTGTGTGATCTCTGTGCGCCCGGGGATCGTGTGTGTATGCGTGCCTTTGTGTTTGTGTTGGTGTGCGTGTATCTGTGTATGTGTGTGTCGGAATTGGATTGAAAACATTACTTTTCATTGTTGAAAACGGTTAACTACCTTTAACACCCGTTAACAACAGTGATTTCCGGATGGGCGGGATAAACAAAAGAGATGACAACAAGTCCCGCCCCCCACCAAACAATAGTCATGTGTTTCATTTAATGAGGGGAAAAGCAACAGAGACGAGAAGTGCCTTGAAGGACGAGCGACACCATGAAGTGAAGCAATTTGATTTCAAGTGCCAAAAAAAAAAATGTTCCTTTGCAAATGGCCTCAACACAATTCTCAGCATCTTGCTCCCCGTTTGTCCGCATTCGGGACCAACGGCACTCAGGTAATCACTTCTGCAAATTTTTAAAACAAATTGGAAAAACAACACCATCATTTCATGATGTCCAGGTTTCTGCACGGAACAATTTTCATCCAATGACAGATAAATGTATACGACAAAACACAGCTGAGGCTTGGAAAATTGGGAAGTAAGAGTGGTCTTATTCATTTTAAGAGATGTTGTCCATCTAGAAAATGAATTAAAAATGTTTGCACCTGCACACGCGTGTCCCGTCCTCTCCAGCAGGTCTCCGTGGCCTCACGTCTAATTGCCTCTCTTTCATTTCCCTCTTTGTTTCTCCTCCTCCTTTCATCTCTCTTCAGCTCTCTCTCTTGTGCAGAGACTTTGTTTTTCACGCCGTTACTCCTCCGTTATTCTCCTTCTTCCCTCTCCTTTGCCTCCTTTTTTCAAACCTCCTTGACTCCTCCATCCTTTGCCGGCTCCCGTTTCTGTCTCTCGGCACGCTGCTTGTCCGTGCGCTTTGTTTAGAGGTTAAGTAAACATTTACAACCCGGTAACAGCCGAGTAGAACTGTCGCCTGGGGTTACTGAAAGAATTGATTTGTTTGAATTGATTTAATCTTTGTGGCGTCTACACAAGATTTAAATATACAATGTTATACAATTAAATATTGCAAACGAATTGCAAAAGATTTGGTCAAATAAAATCCAAAAGAGCGGTTAACTTAATCAACAAAGACTGTGACTGAGTGTTTACTCTTTCCTCTCTTTCCTCTTTGCGTGCTGCCCAGTCATTTATCCACTTGAGTTTTTTATTATTTTATTTAGCTTGACTTGTTTTTTAGGACCTATTCCAATAAACATTAATGAAATAAGGAAAACTTAATGCGACCCCCCCCCCCTTCTCCTGCCTCTGGTTATAAAACTTCCTAATTGTGGCAATCCTGGCAATTCAGTCCATTTGTTAAAAAAAAAGGTTATCGGGATATCCAACATGTAGAATACTTAAAAGATGTTCACTCCTAAAGCTTTGGAGCAACACGGCATTTATGGACAGCATATTTTGAGGGAAAAGACATTTCTGCAGAGTTGTTACTTGGTATCAGATGTTCCTTCTGTTTAAGAGCAATGGAGAAAATAAACAAATAATACAAATAAATAAAATCCTGAGGTCTTAAACAGAGAAACACAGCACTGACGTGGCTGCAGATGCACGCGACAGCCGTTCGGGACACGCTGAGACGGACGGACGGGGGGGGGGGTCAATCTTTTAACGTGTGCTTCCTCGCGTTCGTCACAGTGATTAAGGCACCAGTGAGTTTGTGTTTTAATCCCGGTGGCCAAACACGCAGCGCTCCGCCGACATGTAAACACGCCCGCTGGCGAGGATGACCGAGCGTCATGTCCTGCTGCTTGTAAGAGGGGATTGGTTGGCTCGGTGACGAGGGACAGGACGATGAGGATGGAGAGAGAGATCACATGATGTACTACACGCACTGTTTTAGTGTTTCAGTAAATATGTTATAAAAAAATGAAATGAGATAATCAATAGAATACTCAAACTTGTGCAGGTTGCAGCAGCACTTGTTGGATTATGGCCCGATGGTGACGTGTAGAGTGAAATGGAAACTGTTACTTACCACCCACCAGTAGTAGACATCAGAGGCCAGCTGGACGTTGTCTCTGGTCCAAACGGGGGAGATATCCGGGTCGTAGTTCTCGTCGAACCAATCGGAAACGCCGGGGTCCCCGACGCATCGGGGGCACCCGCACGTCTTGGCCCGCGAGGCCTCGGCCGGCGAGAGCCTGTGAGCGCCGGCGTAGCTGGGCACGAGCTTCACCCGCCGCGACTCCTCCCACCCGGGCGGCTCCAGGTAGCTGAAGCCGACGCCCCCGCGGAGCGAGGCGGAGAAGAAGAGCGAGGTGAGGAAGACGAGCGCCAGGGAGCCGAGGAGAACGCATACCCTGCGGGAACACCTCGCCCGGCATCCCCTCTCCGCCCCGCCCGCGGCGCCGCCGCCGCCGCCTCCGCCGCCTGCCCCCGGCCGCGGCCTGAGCTCGGGGAGCCTGGAGGCACCCCCGCCCCAGGACCCCCACCCCCAGCGCCTGTCCCGCTGCGGGGTGGAGGACGGGACTCGGCCCCCCCACGGCCATGCTCCCACCCCTGGGCCCGCCACTGTCCACGCCGCGCCGCCGCCCCGCTCGGGCGCTCGGGGGGACAGCGAGTCAGAGTCAATTGGTCTCACGATGCGGTGCTCCTCCGTCTCCCGCTGGGTTCCCTCTCGCTTCACAGCTCTGAGCGGGTCTCGCGCGTCCTCCGTCCTCCCGCCGCGCCGTCTAACCGATGTGGGACCCCCGTCTGTTCCCGCCTGCTTTCTTTTTTCCCGGGATTAGCTTCTCGGGTGAAACCCGGTGGGCGGGCGCAGCGGGTCCGTCTCGCTTTCTCTGCCATCTGTGAGGACGCTCCAGCGCTCTGCCGCCTCCCTTTTCTCTGTCCCGCTATCTCGTGTCTATCTCGTTGCCAAAGAAGGCAGGCGGCGAGAGGGGAGGGGGGAGGGGGGGAGGATGGGAGCAGGAGGAGGAGCGGTAGACCTGGAGGTGGTCTAGCCTGAAGGGTGCTCCATCAGGTGCTCCATCATGTCTCTAGATGCTACTGAGGCTTCCTTGGAACGATGTCCTTCAGACACAAAGTTTTAAAAAAAAGCTTAATTTCAAAAGCTTCAACTCTTTGTGATGTATAAAGAAATAGTCACGTCACAAAAAGGAAAAAAGCAGATTGTCTGACGTTCTTTCACGCCGATGGTTCATCAGGGGACGAAGTCGTGCCAAGGAAAGGGGAGCGTGGTGGACGGCGGCGTGACGTGCGGAGGCTGCGAGGGGAAAAAAAAAGACAAAACCAATCAGCCCCCAAAATCTCATCCTCTCTCCAGCCGGCTTTGCGAGGACGAGGACGAGGGGGGAGAGGAGGGTGGGGCGACGACAGCATCTGTCCTGCATCCCCGAGTGTGTTCGCGTGTCTCTGTGTCAGCGATTTAATGTGAGTACGTTGAGGCAGGTTAGCACGCCGTCACTCTGATTTAATTGTGATCTGCATCTGTGCCGGTGTGTGTGCGTGTGTGCGTGTGTGTGTGTGTGTGTGAGTTTGAGGTGAGTGCTGCTCAGCTCTAATCTGCTGAACTATAATCCGAGGGTTAAACACCGTCAGGCCATCTTCCTCCGATGCCAAATAAACATCATAAGTCACCTGCACACACACACACACACACACACACACACACACGCACACACACTGTTGCCTTTTCTGCTGAAACAACACCTACTTTTGATGGGAGAGTGCGTGCGCGGGTTGGTTTGTGTGCCGTTGAGGGATCCGTGACCCGGAGTCGGGCTCCCTGCTCCGCGGTAAACCTGTAGACACACGGAGAGATGAAAGAGAATGAGGACCAAGGACCAGAGCAGTTTGTCTTCTTAGTCAACATCTTTGTGTGTTCTTATTTGTGTGGAGGAATGCATTTCCCCCTCCGTCCGGCGAGGATCAAATGACATCACCGAGACCGTCTGCCTCTCTCTCTCTCTCTCTCTCTCTTGTCAACGACCCAGGAATCCACAGTTTTTCTCCACTCTCAATTTTGGAGGCATCGCCATTAGCAGCCAGCACGCGATGCAGGGTTGTCACGGCAACACCGGGGGTGCAAACTCATCATCAGGGATGAAAACGGGGACAATGTGAAAAAGGGCACATGCGGAAGGCAAACCTGACCTCTGCCTCGATGAAGGGGGCGTGCAAGAGTCCATTCCAGTGACGTTATGAATAAATAATGCCAGAGCTAAAAGGTTTGCTTCAAACGACGGGACTTAAGATAACTCGATCGACTACTCACATTCAAAGACAAATTGCTTTGGAACCTCAAGAATAGATTTCGCTTTGGACGAACAGATTAAATATTAGCAAGAGGGAGGGAGGAGGCCTCTCACCCCCCATTCGCTAACATTACATTGATATCAGAGAAAGCCTTTGACTTCTCCCTTGATTTCCCATTATCTGTTTTAGGATTTTTTAATGTGAGGGTAAAGTAGGTAAATTTTTCGGCATTTTCTCGCTTCGATTTTTCAAAAGTTCCTGAGAAATAAACCCTGTACTATCCGACAACACCGTTGTTGTAACCCTCAAAAATGGTTGATGACGAACAAGCTTGAAAAAAATATTCATGACAGCTTGCGTTCGCAGATGACTTGGAGGACCGGACCGGACCGGACCCCCCCCCAAAAAAAAGGTTTTATTGCAGATCTACATGAATCACCCAAATGACCTATTTTGAAACAAAAACGGCAAATTTTCGCCGAAAGGTGACATGTTTGCGTCCCTGAACACGAACCTTGACCCATCTTATTCATGCTAGAGAACATGGCTTCCCTCCAGATGACATACTTGTTCTTTTGTATGTTCTATTCCTATAATTGCTGCGTGTGTCACCCCCTTCCGTGACAAAGAGTCGCACAAATTCACACCTGGAGCCGACATCCGTTCGTCTTCGTGCTCGTAAAAGTGACAAACAGCCAGACGCACACAGACACATGTGCAATCTGTACGATCTGACGGATCTCGCGACACTACGACAGCTTCATTTTGAGTCGTAACAAGCTGCAGGTTGAAAATCTGAGCTGGTTCATTTTTCTAACTCTGACTGTTCATTTAACAGATTCCGCATGACGGCTTTTTAGTATTCCCTCTATTTGAGGTGGAAGCCAAGTGTTGAGTTGGACGCTTGCCTCTGCCCTCTGGGTTTTAATAAGAGATGCTCCACGTTGAATTCACTAGAAAAGCTGTTAATTGTTTACTATGGCGGCCGCTGAAGGAAAAAGCTGTCTGTATTTTTCCATTCTCATCCACACAGCTGTCATTTAAATCTTCTGCTAGATGGTTCGTTTCATCCCCCGAATACAATTTCCACACAGTGTTTCCTAGTGAACAAACAAAACAAATCTATCCCCTATGACACCTATTGAGATCCCGCTGAGCGGTTGAAAAAAACACACTGGGAAGGAATACCCAATTTAGCCCAAACGGGCCTGGAGATGCTCAGTGACCAACCAAACAATGGGCGTCTTTAACCAGCCGGTTGTGTCTGGGTGCACACATCCTCCAGGTGTGTAATTGACCATCTGGAATTCCTTTAAATCACACGCTTTAACCGTCGCTGGCCACCGAGCGCGTTGCCGCTGGCCACTATCCCGTGCAGATTCTTGCAAATTCTTCTTCTCAACCAACCCGAGAGTCTTATTTCTGTCGTGTAAAAAATAAAGCACCCAAAAGCAAAGAGCAGAAAACACGTTGCAGGCGCGTGACGTCAAGTGTCACGTCCCCAAAAGACACACAACGGCTCCATCGCCCCATCCCATCCCCGCGCTGACGTCCATCTTCTAAGTGGAAGATCTGTCCCGAGCGGTTGATCTCATTTATATCCTTCGAGGGTTCAAACAGGCTTTAGAAATTCTGCATCGCTTGCTCTTTCCGCCCCTCATCGTTTTTCACTGCTCGCCCTCTACCAACCCTCTCTCTTTTTACAAGTCGATCACCGCTGCAGGTGGCACAATTCAGAGACATTAAAACATTTTAAAAAACGGAGCTATTTAAGAGCTTAATCTTCCTGTGACGTGGCCTGGGTGCAGCATTTGGCATTTACTTCACTGACATTTTGAAAACCAGAGGCCACCTTCACCTTTAACATAAATCGAATGTCAAGTTTAACAAACAATTCAACTACATGCATCACTTTAAAGTCATCTGGGTGACGAAAGTGGCACAGCAAGAGCGCTGCTGCCAGGGTTTGGAAGGTGACCCAGTGCTAACCAAGAATCCGCCGATCAGCCCCGGGCCAAAGATCACCACAAGTTGTACGTGGCAAATCCACTAATTGCGCTAAATCACTTAAAATTAATTGACTTTGCTGAGAAATGACACGGGTTTAAACGTTGCCGCATTATGGGCTTAAGTCTTTAAACAGTCGGCGGTGCCGAAGCGGCAACCTGATTTGTAGCTTTTACCAGTTTTGGCCTGGATCTTAAAAGAATACAGAACCTTAATACCCAAGTTGGTAAAGACCTTTCTGTAATGGTCGAACTGAAAAAATGACTCGAAGGAAGACGTTCTTCTACTTAGACGAGCGAAAATGTCAACAATAAACTGAAATACAGCAAGATAGAATGATACCAAACACGGTCAAACAGAAGCCAAATTGATAGTGGGTTATTTATCAGAAAATTCGAGTCTCCATTTTTATAAGCTGAACAGAGAGAATCACGCTGCAGCTGCGCCGTAGCCATGGAAACCTGCTATCTGCGTCCCGTGGAAAGTCATCAATTCTTTCATTCCTGCTTTTAGTTAGTTGGGTCATACCGACATTCTTATGACACCAAAGTACTGCAAAACAGAAACCAAAACATTTTCAGTTTACAATTATAAAAACGAGGAAAAGCAGGAAATCCTGAAATTGGTGAAGATGGAACAGTTGATATTTAACTCTGGACAACAGAATGTGCTTTCCAACACGTTTTCTCAAATTACACCAAGAAATACAACGGACCATCAAAATAAACATTTAAAGTATCTACAATACACAGATAATAATTTAAAGACTGATCATTCAAATGGAAAAGCTAACACAAGAAGTCCCAATGAATCGAATGGGTGTCAATGAGCGCTTTAACACTATATGACCTCATTCACCCCCATTCACATCCATCAGAAACTACCATTCACACACTGTAGTCGCAGCTACAGGAGCAATGTTGGGTTAAGGGTGCTGCCCAAGGACACATCGGCATGCGGGTTAACCGAGCCTGGAATCGAAACCGCCAACCCGGTGCTCCCCCACCCACCCACAGTCAAGCCATGACTTCAGAAAGTCAGCAGTCTATTATAACAGCGGCCTATTCTCATGAAGTATGGTTGGTCCTGGTGAAGCTTCTTTACATTGAGTTCAACTTAATGAAAAGCTAAATTGTCCAGAAAACCGTGTCGTGTAATAACCTGTAGTTATGTATGCACTTTATTACCAAAACCCTAAATACTGCGTTTGTGGCCTAATATCCTCGTAGTCAATTTGGGAACATTCTGATTCGTAGGGACGTTTTTTTGTGGAATGTATTACGCAGTATGGTCGGATTGCTTAACTGAGGTCGTTAAAGGTTAAAAAAATATGATGGGAAATGATGGGAATTTGCATATTCCGGGAAAAATGCTAAAATTAGCAGCGTATTAAAATGCAGAGGACATACAGGAACGACATTGTCAGTAAAGGTACAAGCACTATGGTTCTTTAGATCCAAATAGGGAGTAAAGATAGTGCTGCCTTTTGTAATGTGGACGCAAGTTATATAGGTACTGCCCTTCATTGAGAAAGCGGTATCATTGTGTGAAAGTCAAAGACTTTGAATCAAGGGGATTAAATGCATTGTATTCTGGAATAAGAATGTCTACCTATAGAAATAGAGTGCAGGTAGAGAGGACATTGCTATTCAAATCAACGCGGCGGGACGGTCAGAGTGGCGTCTGTTTTTCTCTGAGCGTTTGTGTTGCAAACACAGGCACCCTCTAAACCAATTTAAGCCCCCCGAGAGGGAGTCACCGATTCCAGCGCGCCTGTGACACGCCAGCGCTGGCGTCGAGTGGCTGCACATTCGCGTGGGCCGTCCCTTTCGCTCGGCCATCATCTTTGAATGCCTCCTCTGCCGGCCAAGCGGCGGAGCAACGACGCGTGACGCTCTCTTTGCTGCCTCAGCAACATGTGGTGTCACCATAGCAACTACCAACAATGGTCATTTGATTTGGTCAAATGGTGGTGGGCCGTCAGGGCCAGCCAAGCCTTCTCTGCTGGCCTAAACAGAATCACAAAGTTATAGCTATTTTATATATATTATAAATATATAATATATATATATATATTATAAATATATAATATATATATTTATAATATATATATTATAAATATATATATATATATATTATAAATATATTATATATATACATATATATATATATAATTCTCCTTCCTTGTTCTAAAGAGAGCTTTTAACCAGTCATGTAAGAGAGGTCCTCTGGGTAGATTTGATCTTAAGTGTGACATGTTGTGCGTATTCTTTGACGTACCCTCATAAGTAGGTCTGCATTATCGCTTAGCGGTCATAGCAACGGTAACTAAACAGGGTCAGGAAAAGCAAATGGTCAGTTTTAGAGAGAGAGCTGGATTTCCTGAAAGCTGCACTTACAACCTCAATGTTTATAGGTCCTCAATCATTATGGGAGGTGCAAGAAAAAAAGGACGCCAAATTCAACCGATGGCTTGTCTGCATTTTTAGCCACACAGAGAGGCCTACACCGACCACTGGTCCAGTCTCCCCTTTCGTCT